AGTGTAAAGTTACTCTCGAATTTACTTTCGTGTAAGCGATTTACACTTGAGTAAAGTGTTGAAACGCTCCAAGAAGTTGGACATGATTTACTCGAGAGTAAACTCTTACTCTTTTCTTGGTGAAACCGGCCCTGTGCAAAATAGCAAAAGAAAGAAGGTAGTCGTAGTTAGCAGGTAAATAGGCGAGTGCAGAACGCGTGTGCGTTTGTGTTACAGGCGCCTTCCAGGATGGAGCCCCCGCGGCGGCGGAGGGCGGTCGCCCGGGCGGGCGAGGCCCGCGGCCCCGCCCACACCCCCGCGCCACCCACGCCCACGCCCATGCCCATGCCCACGCCCACGCCCACGCCCATCCCCACCGAGGACCCGCGTGGCCGGCGCCCTTGCCACCGCCCCTGCTGCCGGCCCCTGGCTTGCAGGTGAGCTCAGCGCGCCAGTTGTGCGTGGTGACAGGACACACTTTTCAACCAGATTGTCAAATTTCAAAGAGAAAGCGAAAGAAAGTATTTGAGTCTGTAATGCTTCAATATAGTATAACCGTGCATTGCTGGGATATTAGATAGTTTAATGCATGTTTTCAAGTATTGCTCTTTATTCTGGTGTAGCTAAATCCTTGATAGATCATCCGTTCAAGATAATTTGACGTATAAAATATATTTTCTTTGAAATGTAATAATTTATCAAGTTATTTATTTTCAAGTTTTGTTTGACATTCATAAGTTGTGTGTTTTTGAGATCGCATTGTCATATTAAATTTGCTTAAGCGATCATTCAGCATTAGTATGTAAACTTCAAAACTATAGTCATTTTAAATGAAAATACATTTTATGCACTCACACTACCCAGGCCTTAAGATTCATGAAGGCAAAGTAAATTAATTGCTCGAAAGGAATATTGCTTTGTAAATACTAACATCTTTCATTATATCAGATAACCTTTTCATAGATAACCTAGGAAAAACGTTTCTTCGATTTACGATGTGAGTATTAATAAGTTAATGTTTTCGTGTATATCAGAATAAGTTAATGCATTATGATTAAATACATTGCGAGAATGATAGAATAAATGTACGTAATATTAATATTTTGTCCGTGTATTTTGAATTGCAAATGTATTTATTGTTTATTAAGTGATAAACGATTCTTCTTAATTGCTGTAAGTCACATTGTAAAACATTAAGTTTCTGTCGTTATGGACTTGTTATAGCATTTCTTTTTGGTATAATTATTGGAGAGAATAGATCGCAGTGTGCTTGTTGGATCTCGTGTTGAAAGCTTTGCCTTCGGTTCCTACAGCCCCGAGACTACTCTGCTGGGAGGCTGTCGGGGAGGGGGCGGATGAGCGCGGGTCGGCGCCCCATGGCGCGCGGGCGCGGGCCGCCACGCATGGCGGCGCGGAGCGCCCCGGCCGCAGTGGTTGCCGCGTTGCAGGGCCCGCACCAGCCTCCGCTCCCGACGCCCGCCT